ATGAAGAACGTCCGCGCGACATCCCAGAATAACATTTTGCGCATTTTGCCCGCTAAGTACGGTTGTTGTCGGCCTTGTAAACACTTTTTACCACTTTAGGGAGACGATTGACAACGAGGCTCCCGAATGCATTTTATTCCCCAGAACGCAATTCACAAGAAATAAAACAATTATGGCAGAAAAACAGATGAAATGTTCCGTGTGATGTGATTTCCCAGCTGGCGCCGGCCTTACGGGTGCGCAGAGAAGTGGAGGCGGACCCGGCACTAAGACCTCACATGACCTTTACATAATGCCATTGGTAATCAGCTGTTATTAAAATGATCCCTGGTGATCCCGCCATGGAGGTGCTTGTTCAGGCACTTCCTGTTATGGGGTGACAACGCTTTGTCCCCTGTCTCACACACTACCCCTTCCGCCGGCACTGCACCGACACACACTACACCATCTGCCGGCACTGCACCGACACACACTACACCATCTGCCGGCACTGCACCGACACACACTACCCCATCTACCGGCACTGTACCGACACACACTACCCCATCTACCGGCACTGTACCGACACACACTACCCCATCCACCGGCACTGCACCGACACACTACCCTATCCATCGGCACTGCACCGACACACTACCCTATCCATCGGCACTGCACCGACACATACTACCCCATCTACAGACACTGCACCGACACACACTACCCCTTCCGCCGGCACTGCACCGACACACACTAACCCATCCATCGGCACTGCACCGACACACACTACACCATCTGCCGGCACTGCACCGACACACACTACCCCATCTACCGGCACTGTACCGACACACACTACCCCATCTACCGGCACTGTACCGACACACACTACCCCATCCACCGGCACTGCACCGACACACTACCCTATCCATCGGCACTGCACCGACACACTACCCTATCCATCGGCACTGCACCGACACATACTACCCCATCTACAGACACTGCACCGACACACACTACCCCTTCCGCCGGCACTGCACCGACACACACTAACCCATCCATCGGCACTGCACCGACACACACTACACCATCTGCCGGCACTGCACCGACACACACTACCCCATCTACCGGCACTGTACCGACACACACTACCCCATCTACCGGCACTGTACCGACACACACTACCCCATCCACCGGCACTGCACCGACACACTACCCTATCCATCGGCACTGCACCGACACACTACCCTATCCATCGGCACTGCACCGACACATACTACCCCATCTACAGACACTGCACCGACACACACTACCCCTTCCGCCGGCACTGCACCGACACACACTA